CATGACGCTTGTGGCTATTGAGCTCGTGTGCCTCGCCGCTGGCTCGCTTATCATCAGCAGTCTTATCAGTGGGCTATGGTTGAGGGTTGGCGAACGCATCGTCATGAGAGTAAGGAACAAAGTTTTCCACGCTGTGGTTCGCAGAGATATCGAATGGTTCGATAAGCTCGGCGTCTCGGAATCCGAGAATACCTCAGACGGCATTGGGGCTGGTGGACTAATGGCTAAATTCGCAAGGTAAGTCATCACAACCTGCGAGCGACTTCACTTGCTGACCCTCGGCGCCACTCGTAATTGCAGAGAAACAGAAGATGTCCGGGAGGCCGTCTCTCTTACCTTTGGTCTCACGATCCAAAATGCAGCATCTGCCCTGGCTGCACTCATTCTAGCCTTTAAACAATCGTGGTCCCTTTCCCTTGTAATCCTTTCCGTCATCCCTATTACCATCGTTATTCAGGGTGCCTCCCAAACCCTTTCCGCACCACACTACGACGCCGAGCGAAGCGTTACTGCCAGCGTTGCTACTCGTATCACCCGTGCCATCGCATCAATTTCCACCGTCAAGTCGTACAACGCCGCCGGCTACGAAGAGTCGCAGGTCTCAAGTCTTCTCGAGCAGTCGATCAAGGCCTACAAGGCGTGTACGACTGTGTGGGGGGCCTCAAACGGCGCCGTCCAGTTCGTGCTCTTTTCCATGTTTGTTCAGGGTTTCTGGTTTGGCGCTAAGCTCGTCAGGGAAGGCAAGGCATCGGCTGGAACGGTTATGAGTGTCTTTTGGGCTTGCATTGTTCTCCAGGCGAGCTTAGGGACGTGCTTGCCTCTCCTCGTTACTCTCACGAAGGGGAAGACAGCTATGGCCAGTTTACAGGTTGTTATTAATGGGGATGATGATCAAGACGCCGCGAATGTGCATGATTACGACGACGGGACCGTCCCCCCCCCTTACATGGAGGAATTTGAAGTTCCATCAAACTATCCCCAACCAATTCCTGCCTCTGAGGGCCTGCGGCCGACAAGGTGTCTGGGCACTTTCGACATTCATGACCTGACTTTCACGTACGCTTCTCGTCCCGGGAAGCCTGCTCTGTCACTTGCCACTTCTCCCATCCCGTCCATCCATATTGCTGGTAACGACATCACGTTCATCGTTGGCTCGTCGGGCTCTGGCAAGTCAACTATCGCTTCTATCCTTGCTGGGTTGTATCGGCCTGCCAGCGGCGTTGTGATGTTCGATGAAGTTGAAATGGGAAGATTGGACCAGCAGTGGGTCCACGAACGCGTTGGGCTCGTTGGACAGGAGTGTGTGTTGTTTGAAGGAAGTATCATGGCTAATGTTGCAATCGGTGTCGCTGGAAGCGGTGAGTTTGTCGGGGATTTGTTGGATTAACTTGGAATGACTAATTTATACTTTTTGACAGGCAAACGCCCAGAAGATGTTCCCGCCGCTGACATTGAGAAAGCTTGTCGAATTGCCTTAATGCATGACTTCATCCTTTCCCTTCCCCGAGGATATTCTACACCCCTGGGACCTTCTGGCCTTGCTCTCTCAGGTGGTCAACGCCAGCGACTTGCCCTCGCTCGCGCCATTCTCCGCGATCCTGCTGTTCTCATTTTGGACGAGGCCACCTCCGCCCTCGATGCCACTACTCGCTTACTCGTTTTCGAGGCAGTCAGGCAGGAACGTAAACGAAGAACCACTGTCGTCGTTACTCATGATTTGAGTATGCTACGCCCTTCCGATTACGTGTATGTCATGAAAGATGGACGGTGCGTCGAGGAAGGCTTCCGGGAAGACCTCGTAGGTGTCACGGGGTGTCCTTGTGGAGGCGGCAATTACATCGGTCCCCGACAGAAAGGATGCAAGGGAGAGTGGGATGACGTGGGCGGGTGCGGCAGAGGCGAGTTTCGCGCCATGCTAGAGAGACAGATGGGCATGGGTGGTTCCCTTCCCCCCGTTGAACTTGTCGACCAAACACATGAATCCGTTGCAGCTGTCGAGCGTGCCATGTCCCCCGCCCACATGCCAGCTGCTTCTACAACCGACAAGCGCGTTTCGAAAAGAGCTAGTATTTGGACAAAGAGTGTTATTGCGCCTTGGGAGGTTGATGCGATTAGGGATATAGTGGGAAGCGGCAGCAATACGGCGAGAGCTATGGCGATGCCCCATCCAAAGAACCATCTCAGCCCGTACAAGCTCCGAGGGAGGTACGAGAGTGTTGCTCCTCCTTCGGCCTACAAGGGCGTCAAGGGAGTGGATGAGGCGACGAACACACATCATAGACCTTCGAGCATGGCGTCGGCTTTTGTTGTCGGAGGTGCACACGGGAAGAGTGCAAGTGTGACTAGTTTACCGAGTCCAGCGGCCGATGATCTTTCGTTTCCCCGTCCGAAGGCTTTGGATCTCGTCCGGAGGAGTATGACGTTTGAACCTGTTGGGTGGGCGCCCGATTCTCCTGTTATGGTTTCTTTCCGCCAGAGAAGGGATAGTGCATTCGAGCGGACCAGTATGGAGGACGAGGAAGAAAAGAGTTTCGAGGGTTTCAAGGAGGCAATGGAGAAGAGCGGGTTGCAGGCCGTTTCCGGACGAAGACATGCCCCGCAGGTGATTGATGTTATTGTCCCTCACGCCGCTGAGGATCCTACGCCAGAGCAGCTTCCTTCTGTGTTTGTTTTGACTGCCTCGTTCTGGTCCACCATCCCCGACAAGTTTTCCACCATCCTCGGTCTTATTTTTGCCCTCATCAACGGTGCCCTTACACCCATCTTCTCCTTCTTGTTGGCTCGCCTCCTTGCCCAGATTGGGCTTGGGAATGAGGCCGATGCGAAGACAACAAACCTTTATGGGTTGCTCGTGCTTATTGCGGCTCTCACGTATGGTGCAGCAAATGGGCTACAGTTCTACCTCCTTGAGATGTCTGCTATGCGATGGATTGCTTATCTCCGGCTCCGCGCGCTCTCCGCATTGCTCAAGCAGGATAAGGCATATTTCGATGAAGAAAAGAACAGTCCCGAACGACTTGTCTCCATTCTTGTGACGGATGGCGATGATGCAAGGACACTTATTGCTAGCGTTGCAGGTCCTTTCGTCGTTGTAATCGTCATGCTGACCGTTGGACTTCTTTGGGCGATGGTTCGAGGGTGGCAACTCACTCTCGTCGGACTTGCGATTGTACCAGTCTTTGGAGGCGCCATGATTCTTCAGAGTCACATCTCCACTCAGTACGAAGCTCGTAACAAGATTGCTCGTGATGAGGTCGCAAGGAGATATTATGAAGCCGTTGCGAGCATTCGTGCGATTCGTGCTATGGCACTCGAGAACGTATTTGAGAGATACTTCGAGAATTCGGTGAATGGTGCGATGGAAGCTGGTGTGGAAGGAAGTTTTGTAGCGGGACTTGGATTCGGTGTTGCGCAGGCGTTGATTTACCTCGCCGAGGCGTTGTTGTTTTATGTGGGAGCCGTGTTCATGAGTCGGGGAACGTATTCCTACCTCAAGCTTGTTCAGGTGTTGAACTTGGTGGTGTTCTCGGTGGCAATTGCGTCGCAGATGCTTACTTTTGGTATGTACTTTTCTTGCAGCACCCTTCTAGCTCGCAGGAGGCTGATTTGTACTGTCATAGTCCCGAAAATCGCGAAGGCTAAGCAAGCTGCGATCGATCTCGGCAAGGTCCTCTCTCTCGGCACTCAAACAACGGAGTCGCGTGGTTCCCAACGCTTCCCCATCGAGGGCGAGATTGCCTTCCATGATGTTTACTTCAATTACCCTCAACGTCCTGACGTTCCTATCCTCCGTGGACTTTCTGGTGTCATTCAACGTGACGAATGCGTGGCCGTTGTTGGTGCTTCTGGCTCTGGGAAATCTACTACCGCTGCCCTCCTTCAAAGGCTTTATGAGCCTGACGCTGGGCGCATCACCATCGGAGGCTTCAACATCGCTGACACGAATGTCAAATGGCTCCGCCAACACGTTGCCATCGTCAGTCAGACCGCTCAGCTTTTCGATGCCACAATTGCAGAGAATATTGCATACGGCTGGGACTCAGAGAACATTCCGTTCGAGCTAGTGGAGCGTGCCGCCCGGGATGCCCATATTCATGACTTCATCATGTCCCTTCCCAGCGGTTACGATACTGTCATTGGGGAGAATGCATCTCTTATCTCGGGTGGTCAGGCTCAACGTCTATCGATCGCTCGTGCCTTATTTAATGGCCGTGCGAACGTTATGATCTTCGATGAGTGCACTTCTGCCCTGGACCCTGCTAATTCCGAAGCTGTGATGAACACCATCATGGAGATCAAGAAAGGTCGGACTTGCATCCTTATCACCCATAAGGATAGCGTGATGAAGAGGTGTGATAGAATACTTGTCCTTGATGGGGGGTTGATCGTCGAAGAAGGGCCATATGAGGCTCTCATGAAGAGACGTGGGAGGTTCTTCCAGCTTGCAAGCGCTGGGGAGCGGGCGGACGTGGAGTGATCCTCCATTTTTTTGGTTTGAACTTTTTTGATTTTCGAACACAGTCCTTTGCATTCGGACTCCAAAGTAGACCTTTCGTTCTGTAATCTCGCCACATTGTCACATTCCTTTCGTTTGTTGTGCCTTTCCGCTTTCCTTTATCTTTTCTCTCTGCTCATTTAACCTGCATTTGTAATCTCCTGCACCGCAAGCATGTACGTATTGGTTCGCACATTACACCCTTAGGCACTGTATTTTTATTCGTTATGAAACTAATAAATAGTTTTGACATTGGGGAAAGCTCATGGAGGCTGGAGGGAAAGGCTGGGGTGGTTCATCCAAGAATTGTTACAAACATGCATACAGGGCGAGTGAGAGTGTCCCAATATAGGTGCTGGAGCAAGCGGAAACCTCTGTATCAACGTTTCAAGGTGATGATGGACTGTTTCAGAACGCCCGCGCGTTCTTGAATCCTCGAATAGCCTGCCGTCACTGCCAACCGGCGTCGCCTGAATTTTAAGTTCTGACTTGTCTATTTGCTTCCGTGGTTGTTTGTGACCAAGTTTGTTTGTTCAGTTCGCCCTTGAGCGGATAACTACTTGCCCTCGGCAGACGTCTGTAACTACTGGTGTTCCTCGGAGTAACCTGGCGAGCGCCAGATATGACTGACCTGTTGGGGCGCTACGGCGTTCTGCGGTTGTTGTCTAACAAGACCAGAAAGCCCGTCACCTCATTCCCCGTCGATTCGGACGTCCTCACTTTTGGACGCGACACAACATGCGACGTTCGAATGTACTTTACATTCGTCTCTCCCCTTCACGCCAAACTCGTGTTTGAGAACGGCCAGGTGAATTTTAAGGTTTGCGGTGATTGAAATTTTGGACAATACTAAACTTCGGGTCCGGGATCCCATATCTGTGTAGGCCTTTCTCAGTGTGATGGGTATGCAGGGCATTGTGGTGAATGGAAGTGTGGTCATGCCTTCGTCGCGCAGTGGAGAACCGATCATCTTACCGCTTCAGGACCAAGCGGAATTCACGATTCACAACAAAACATTTAGGTTCGAATACCCTTCCGATTCTCCCCACCCATTTCGCGTAGAGGTAGTGGCTTTTGGTGCTCAATTTTGTTTCTACCTTTCTGAGGTTTTCTCATCAGACCCCACCTCGTAAATCACGCAAGTCATTACGAATGTCGATGATAAATGCTGCACGAGTTATCTCCCCTGACATGAAGGTCTCCCCCCTCTCTCCTTCCCTCGAAGTCCTCCAAAGTCCAATCAAGCCATATGGGGATGTAAAGTCTTCTGCCGAACGCGATTTGGAAGTTATCCTTGCTGAAGGAGACGACGTTACCGTTTCGAAACAAGGGAATGACCTCGTGATCGTCGAGTCCATAGGAGATTCGGACCATGATAAAGAAACGGAAGACTTTAAGTCGTCTAGTATGGACTTCATTCGCCCTCAAAGGGAACAGAGTTTTGCCATGGAAGTGAGTTTGTCATTTATCATCAAGTCTGAAATAGAAATGAGTATTGAATTGAATAGACTCCCCGAACTCCCACAAGACCGAAGACACCAACTTCCACCATTTCTACGCTCCACAAAGCTGTACTCGTTCGCAACTCCCGTCTTGCTATGATAGATCGCGAGGATGAAGAGGAGGTTTTCAAGGCCGTCAGCCCTGAGCGGAACAGTCCACCGGAGGAAGAAGAGGTGGAAGAACTTGACGAGCTTGAGCAGGATTCACTCGAGGAGGAAGGCAATCCCGTTGAACACACCAAGAACGTGAACGACGCCTCGTATCCTGAGAACGAAGAGGATGAGCCAATCGATCAGTCTTTGGTTGGGGAAGGCCAGGACCATGAGTATCACGAGGCCCCTCTAGGCTGTTCGACATCCCCACGCCCATCACTTCTCCGAGCCAGTCTCGGCGCCATCGGCAACGTTCTGGCCGCCCCCTTCTCAATAACATGGGATGCCAGCGAAAGCGAACCTGCAGAACAACCTCAAGATGTCGCCCATCGCGACGCATCTGGTGTAGTCGCTCCAGAAGAAAAACAGGACGAGACCCCTGGCTCTTTGCTGGATCACTCAATGGAAACCGTCGAAGATGAGGAGTATCCTCCCGTTACGGAATCTGAAACGGAACCCCCGAATCATTTGGACGAATCCGACCCCCATTCCCCTTCACCTGCCTCCCAGATAGGCTTTCCTTCTCCCTCAAGGGCACCCCTTTCCCCCACCAAACCCCGTTCACAGTCCCTAGAGACGGGCGTTTCCGAAACCACCCTCCTTGCTCGTCGGAACCGCAATAGTGCATTCGGACTTCCTGAGCGTTGGATCAGAAATGCCGCGCCAGAGCCCAATGAGAGACCCGAAGAGTCTAATCTCCCGGACAACACACCGATCCAGGTGAGTATTTTGATGTTCTTTACCCTGGACTTTCACTAACGTCGTTTCAGCCTGCGACCTTCTCTACGCCTGTCAAAGTTGCCTCTTTCACCGCCCCATTCACCGCCATCCCCTCTTCTACCCCGCTCAACAGTCAGCCTTCACAGACTCCAACTTTGGAAAGTCTTCGCAAGCAAGCTCAGAAGTTTGAGATTGACAATGCGAATCGTGCTACTCGCCTCAGTTTTGGTCATACGCCAACGTTGCTCCGATTCCAAAGCCCATCGAAACAGTACGCTGAGGCGCGGAGGCTCCTCAATATAGATGGTCACGAATACCCAGAGGAGTCAGAAGAGGCTGCTTCAAGTACTTCCGAAAGTGCCTCCGACACAAGTGAAAGCCCAGTAATCGCCGCCCTCAGCACGATGGATGCATCAGGGTTAGCCACTCCCACTCGTCACCACAGTCAGCCGTCGTCCCAACTCGCACCAAAGACTCCCTCGTTCGCTGGGTTCAGGAGCTTGTTCGCTCCGGTTCCCAGGGAAGCTGCCACACCATCGTATCAAGGGATGCGCAAGATGTTCCAAATTGAAAATCCACAAGCTGTCCCACCTACCCCTAGTTTTGCGGGCATGAATGATATATTCACACAGGTGGAAGTGGCGGAAATTGAGGACATTGTCCAAGGTATACCCTTCGTCTTCACGTTATTGAAGTGTCAATAACCGTTGATCACAGCACCCAATATAGATACCCAAAGAGAAGTATCGCGAGTGCGGTCAGTCACTCCGGGTATCACCAGGAAAACACGATCCTCGAAACGGGTCCAAGAATCCGTAGAGTCAGTTCGATCTTCTACGACTCCAGATCAGGATGATGGGGAGACCCTGTCGAATGAGAGGGCTGACACTATTCCCACTGTTGTACGTCCTTTATATAGCGAGATTTTTACGCTGCACTTCAATATGCTTATCTGGTTAGGTCGAACGTGTTACACCCACAACTACTAATACTCGTCGCTCCTCTCGCACGCGATCGGCCGAGCCAATTCCGTCCTCTTCTCGTACTAGAACCCGTTCATCTAGCAAACAAGCCATTGAGGGTATTCCTCGGCAGCCAACATCCGAAATCCCCCGCGTGTGTTCTGACGTCCTGTTGGCATCAGCCCAGTCGCAGGAAGGTGCTGGTTCTAAGCGAAAGAAGTCTCCTGTTGACGTTGGACCGGCCAAACCTGCCCGAGTGGGCAGGAAAGTGCAGTCGAACCCTAGTCTTGTGACCCCCGAAGTCGTAATTGTCACGCCATCAATCGCCCGGCCCACACGCATACCGTCTACTGGTCGTCGAACCAGAGCTTTTGCGGAGTCACCCACAGCAAAAAAGTCCCAACCTGTTGCCAAACCGGTTGGATCCCGCGTCAGCAGGCGTACAAAGCGAACGACTCCTGTTGTGAAAGAGGAATCGGAAGATGAAGCGACGGGTGAGGCGGAGGAGGCTGCCTCAGACGAGGTTACGACCTCTGATCGGAGAGCGCGCGGTCGCCTAACTCCCTCGGCAGGAGAGCCAAGGCAAACCCGAAGTGGAACAAAGAAGTCCCCTTCGGGAGCCGTCGACAAGGAGAACGAAGGCATGGGATCTGGTGAAGGAGGTAAGGAGGGACAGGGTGAAGAGGACGATGCTCCAAAGAATGTCCGAACTACAAGACAAATGCTTGCAAGGAAAACTACAATCGCTAGAGGTGCTGGCAGGGGTACAATTACTCCGAGCAGCCAACTGCCTCGGTCTGCCCAACCTGCACGTCGAACCCGCTCGGCTAAAAAATGAGCACTTGCTGTCTTTTTATTCATGTGTATCATATACACTTAGTATTTTCCTCCTATTGACAGGGCATTGTACACTTGTATCTAAATCGGCGTCAGACTTTGGGACTTATTATCGTAACATAATGCATGCATGCCCTAGATGAGAGCAGTATACATATATTTGGAACCCTTCCCACCAAACCTACTCCGATGTCCTCACTATTGCATGCTAGGGATTGTCAATAACCAAATCGACCATGGATCCTTGTCAGGATCTCGAGAAAGTTCGGTTCTGATTCAGGAGTGATGTGACCATGGCGGATAAAAAAGTCTATTAGGACTATAAACTAAATGAGCGACTCGTTAAGCGGGGTGAGTGACCAATATACCCAAAGCGCAGTTTGGCTTGAACAAGCCGTTCCCAACCCGGTCTAGAACATGGTCTATTGAAAGAAGCTAATAAAGTCGCCTTACATTTATGCACACCTGACATCAGGAGCTGGACTCACCTCGAAATGCTCCACTTCACCATCTGAAGGCTTCGGTTCTGGCGCATTCACACCTGCTGGCACAACCAAATCGTAGACATATTGCACCTCTGGTTGAAGCCATCCATTGGATGTTCTGGCGGGAGTGAAATTAAATATAGGTGCAATGACTGTCGAGCCACTGACTGGTAGAAATAGGATATTGCACCAGCAGCTCGGACGTATTCACGGACAAAATTTTCCTCGAGTGAGGCCTCTTCCAAGCACTCTTTTACGAGCGCCTCGGTTGGAGTCAACCCATACGGTATTCCACCGGCAACGGAGTTGTCTAGGTACCCTGGCCAGCTAATTTACCCTATCAGTAGCGAGGCAACGACTTCGCATGTGATTGCCGACGTTTGTTTTGTTTTCGCCCTGGTTGGAACCCATATTTTTTGCTCCCCTTCTAAGTACGTTGTCATATGACAACCCTAGGGTTTGAGTATCGACAGAGGACTTGATTTAACAGAGGGGACGGCCTTGCTTTGACTCACATGCGTTACGAGCCCGAAGATAGCGCAGCAAGTACGCTCAAGAACAAACGCGATATCTGCATTAAATCTCCTTTTGAATGGGTTGTAGTAGATTGGATAAAGCTCGTTCCTCCAGAGCCTTCCGCCGATGATGTCGCTGAAGAACCCGCTTCTGTGCCACATTTCGCATAGCGTAGCAAGCGCTACGTTGCGCTTCTCGAATGAGTCAAGCTCAGAAACAAAACGAACGCCGGATTCTAGTACAAACGCCACTCAGAAGTACTCGATGAATCCGAGCGTCTATCAAAGCACAGGTACCTGACACGTCAAATACAGCTTTCCCTGTCTCCAGCAAGATGCGAAATACGGGAGCTCGAATCCATCCAATAACGATCTCGGTGCCCTCTGGTGGAGTGACGTAGAATGGGACAAGGATTTCAGTGGTTCCTCGCACACTGAAATTGTCGCAATGCTCAACAATAGGCAAAAGCGATTTTGAATCCATTTCTAACTCCATCAATCGGCTCTACCATGTATTAACAACTGGCAAGTGCGGCTTGTTGGAGCAAAGCCAAAGTACCCCGTGGGAAGCCAGAGGCAAATTCGGCACAAGCGACTCGTTAGACCACGTGACCGGGGTTCGCTTTTTGCCGCCAGCGCTGTTTCTCACATCGACGGGGATAGTTGACATTGGCAGTGCTCACACCTCGAGCACCAAGTATGCTTCGGCTTGCATCATCTCGTGCCACGCGCAGATGTGCTCCCAAAAAGCTTGTGACTCAGTCCTGTGCGTTCATCGGCACGACGTAGTTTGGGAAGTGTTGAGTTCATAGACTGATATCCATGCATTACCATGTGAAGGTCTCCGCCCCTTTACTTCCTCGAATCAACGGAAGGCGGACGTAACTTTGACTGTGGATGGAAAAGAGGTCACTGTCCCTCAAGGCTCGCACCGTGCTTATATCTCGCATCGTCACGACATGCTAATCAAGTTGACTTAATAGGGAGTGCTCTCATCCAGGCTTGTGAAGCTGCTGGTTCGCCTATACCAAGGTGAAATTTCTTGTTCGTTTCTGTTGAGCACCACTAATCCCCACCCAGATTCTGTTACCATGACCGGTGTGTGATGTGACGAAAGCCGAATCATGGTCCCGCCCTAACTTTTCTTGTAGTCTCGCCATTGCCGGAAACTGCAGGTAAGTAAATAAAAACATGTTATTTGGTGGACATTGCTGAGACCTATGCACCCTCAGAATGTGTCTAGTTGAGGTCGAGCGTTCGCCAAAGCCCGTGGCATCATGGTAGTATTACCGCTGCTCTCGCATAAAAACTACTTATAGAGCTTTGGCGCAGCGCAATGCCCGCCATGCCTGGTACTAAAGTCTTCACGAATACCCCATTAGTTCATGAAGCGAGGTTAGCGGAATCAGTCTTAGTATTTTTCACCGGCTGAATGTGCTCACAGAGAAGGAGTAATGGAATTCCTTTTGGCCAATCATCCTCTCGACTGCCCGATTTGCGATCAGGGTGGTGAATGCGATCTCCAAGATCAGTCCATGAGATATGGCTCGGACCGTTCTCGATTCCATGAAATCACTGGAAAGCGAGCTGTCGAAAATAAAGACCTTGGACCACTCGTGAAAACATCCATGAATCGTTGTATTCAATGCACGCGATGTGTCCGTTTTGCTAACGACGTCGCTGGTGTCGAGGAACTGGGGACCACTGGCCGTGGGAACGACATGCAGATTGGTATGTATGTCGAGAGGACGATGGATTCTGAACTTTCCGGAAATATCGTCGACCTGTGCCCAGTGGGGGCCCTGACCTCAAAGCCTTATGCATTCCATGCTCGGCCTTGGGAGTTGAAGAACACTGAATCTGTGGATGTCCTGGATGCCCTTGGTTCCAACATCCGGGTAGATTCCCGTGGCGTTGTGGTAATGCGTATTCAGCCTCGAACAAACGACGACGTGAACGAAGAATGGATTAGTGACAAGACCCGCTACGCATATGATGGTCTTCGGTTCCAGCGATTAACAACTCCCCTCATTAAAAGCGGTGATCGCTTTATTCCTGCCTCTTGGGAGGAAGCGTTGGCCGCCGTTGCTGACGGGCTAGTACGATCTGGAGCCGCAGGTGACGAGATCAAAGCTATTGCGGGTCACCTTGCAGATACCGAGTCCCTCGTGGCTTTGAAGGATCTTGTTAACCGACTGGGTTCGGATAATCTAGCTACTGACGAGCTCGGAGGTGCCGGGTATCGCCTCCCAGCTCATAGTGTTGACATTCGTTCCAACTACCTCTTCAACTCGACCATCCTAGGGCTCGATAAGACAGACGCCGTTCTCTTGGTCGGAACTAACCCTCGCCATGAGGCTGCTGTTCTCAATGCACGTATACGCAGAGCCTATCTCTACAGGGACTTGAAAATTGGCTTGGTTGGTCGGGCCGCGGATCTTCGCTACGAGTATGAGCATCTAGGCACGGATGCCAGTGTTATTGGGAAGTTGGCCACCACCAACAGTGCCTTCTATAAGTCTTTCAAGGCGGCGAAGAATCCCATGATCATCGTTGGAAGTGGCGTCAACGAGCACCCTGATGCTCACTTGATATACCAGTCATTGGCAAAGTTTGTTGAGGCACACAAGATCCCTCTCCAAACTCCCGAGTGGAACGGGTTTAATGTTTTGCAACGCGTATGTTTGCACACTTCTGTGTGAGACAAATACTTTGAATGCAGCTCTTTTGCAGGTCGCATCAAGGGCTGCTACCTACGACATTGGATTCGTCCCTTCGAAGAAAGCCACTTCCACCAAGCCCAAGTTTATTTATTTGCTCAATGCTGATGAACTGGACCCTGCATCGATCCCGCCGGATGCTTTCGTGGTCTACCAGGGACACCATGGTGACCTTGGCGCTCAGCTTGCCGATGTTGTCCTTCCGAGTGCTGCGTACACTGAGAAAAGTACGACATGGATCAATACCGAAGGCCGGGCACAGTTAGGCCGAACCGCTGTTCCTCCACCGGGCGCCAGCAGAGAGGATTGGAAGATCATTCGGTGAGCACAGGCAGCGCGTTTTTCATGGATAAATGACAACAAACCGCTCACGGATTCTTTAGCGCCATTTCTGAAGCTGTCGGTACTCCGCTGCCATACGACGATGTTCTTTACCTCCGTGATCGCATGTGGGAAATCTCGCCTTCTCTCGTTCGTTATGACATCACGGAGCCAACATCGAATGCTGTTGCTGCCTTGGGTATCAACAACCTTGCCACCCGTAAGGCTGCTCCTGCTACCAATGTGCCGCTTAACAAGCCAGTTGTGAATTTTTACCAAACGGATCCTATCTCAAGAGCGTGAGTCTTGCCGTTATCCCCGTCTGCACTCATTGTTCACCGTTGGTTCCGGGACAGATCCGTGACCATGGCTCAGTGTACACGCGCCTTCGTCAAGGGCGAAAACTACGGCTTCTCAGAAACTGAAAAGGGAGCACAAGCAGCTGTCGCCTAGACCATTTGGACAAGACTTAATATACATCCGCTATCCATATACCATCAAATTTGTATGCGTACAGACACAGATTTTCCTCGACTGAGCGGTGCCTTTTTGTGCGGTCCTTGCGATACGGATATCTCACCAATAACCAGTCATCCAAGGATCAAGGACCCGCGTACGATCCAGGTGGCAGAGATTGGAACACAGGCTGATTTCGACCCTGGTCACGGGCTGGTGTCTAGCGATCGCCGGTTGGTTGTGAAGTAAAGTGACGCCAACATGTGGCCTCCATGACTGTCTAAGAATCTTACACTGTAATTGAGGCACCAGAACACCCTACGAGGAGGACAGCAGGCTCAAATTGACGGCACGGAATGGATGATATCCGCACGATTTTGGACAATACGGGAAGATTCACCTGTCAATTGTTCATGGCTGCGGGCGCACAGATAAAGCACTCCCGAACGTCAAGACTTTCTTTCTTTGACACGTGAGAATAGTTGTGGTTTTATCTGCTCCAGTCATGAAGAGCATTTATGCATTGAATTCCGGAAGCGTTCCCGCAGGCTCGTAAGATTAGCCCTGTGTACTGAGTCCTACCCGTAGGGACTTGGCATTTAGCAATCACGATGCTGCGATACACACAACGTCCTACTCGCAACCCAAACTACGCAGCCAACGGTGTAATTGAATGCTCACGCACACACAAGTACAACGTTAGTTCTTTGTCACATTATGCGCAGCTGAGGGTGAAACGATGAAACGGTAAAAGAAATACCGGTTTTTCAGTACGTCCAAAGTAAAATAGAAAATTTGTTTCGGCCAAAGTGGTGCAGGTTGACTCAAATGGACAGATTATACCTTCATTCTGACCCGGGGTGAAAGGAACTGTGGAAGGGAAAAATCAAGAAACCTCTCCGTGGGCGCAACGCTGAGCATCCATATTGTCTGACCCAGGACTAAACAACAGTGCAACGGAGGAATGGCTATAAATCTGTTGAA